AGCCGGCGTCCTACCCTGCTCGCGACCCGCAAGCCCCGCGCACCGGCACGCCTCGCCTTCCCGAGGCTCGCCCGCTGCCCCTGCCACCCGCGGGCCCTGGACGGGATTAGCCCTGGCGCCCTAAATCCCCCCTCCCCCCATTACACCCAGCTCCCCATTCTTTGCCCAGCCCTTGGCTAGCCTCCCTCCACCGCACGGTGAAAGCACCGGTCCCCGGCTGGTCAGCAGCGCCTGCTGCCTCCTCCCGAGCGGGAATCGATGAGCCCTCGGTGGAAGTAGGAAGTGGGGGTGGTAAACTGGGATGATAGAGGCGACTGTTGGGTTTTGGGTCCTGTTTGGATCTTGTTCCAATACTTCCTCTTCCCCGTTTAGTCTGTACTTTCGTGGGTCATTGTTATTGGTAACTTATGTATCTGTTCGGGGAACGTGAGGAAGGTCTGAGAGCCTTCGGAGAATTCACTTCTGTTTTCGTCTTACGTTTGCCCTCTAGAGTGGGAGGTTTGTAGTCTTGGAATGGAACAGCAGATCCTCAGAAAGCTCTTTAAAGAGAATTCTTGGAGGGAGAAAGGGATTCCTTTGGAAAGTATTGTAACTACTGATGAAATACAATAGTACAATAATGTGCAAGAGGATTGATTCATTGGTAGGCCGAGAGACAAAGAAACTTATACAACAACAAGGGTAAATGTTACCACTTTGCCTTTTCTGGCAGAGACTCAGGCTGACCTGGGGTCACTCCAGGCTCAGCGTACATCTCACTTGTCTTTTTCTCTCTCCTCCCCTTTTTAACACGCAGTGTTTTCCTTCAGCTCTCTTTTAAAGATGAGAACGAGGCAGAAGTTTATGGGCTTGGGGTGAAAAGTCTTACCTAGGGGTGGAATCTCTGTTTAGTCTTTGTATTTTTTTTAAGAGTATGAGAAAAAATATTTAAAGTTACTACTAAAGATAAAGGGTAGAGCAGCTATGCAGGAAATTTAAATTGAGAGTTACAGTATCAAGTTGCATTGAGGAGTGGTGAAAACCAAAGTCATTGGTTACATTAGAGTTTATGTGTAACTTAACCACGGGGAGGAGGTGTATGTGTGTGTGGGGGGGGCATAATAAGAATTACCTCTATTGTATGTTGTAGTGTTCTGAAGTAGAAAGTCCAATAAGGTTAACTTAGGGTGGTTTCAAATTCAGTATTACTGTAAAACCATTAAAATTGCTAACTAGGCATTTGACAGTTTAGGGTTACTTAAAAGATCCAAATTGGTGAAGATAAAGAGGGTAGAACCTTTTGAATTGCATCGAATTCTTTACCAATTTGCTGTTCCTTTTTAGGTTGTAGAATAATGGGAAAGACTCATTGCCATTTGTGCTTTAAAACTACACTGCTGTTTCTTTCAAATATTCATTTGTTTTGTTTTTCCTGAGACAGGGTGTCATGTAGTCCATGCCGTTGAGGTCCCAAATGCTAGGATCACAGACTTGAGCCACCATGACCTGCTTCATGAAATTGTAAACCCTCAAAATTGCCAGGCTGTGGATCGCACATCTTTAATCCCAGCACTCAAGAGGCAGAGACAGGCTGATCTCTACATATTCAAGGCCAGGCTGGTATACATGGCCAGGCCAGGATACCCAGGGACGCAGAAAAATCCAACTCAAAACAAAATCCTGAGAGCTAAGAGAATCCTTTATAAGAGGCTGATTATATCTAAGTAGGTTATCTCAGAATGAGAATTTTTGTGAGTTGAGGAAATCTATACAGAAAATAATAGCTGATTTCAAATTGTGATCATGACTAATACACACGAAAGACTCTTGCCCCACCCTAAGATGAGAGAGACTCATCTTTGCATACTTGATTCATTATAACTGTTTTATGAAGAATGTTCTAATGTTGTCTTTGTGTGTGTGTTTCTTTGTTTTGTCTTTGTGGTACTGTGGTACAGCACAAGACCCTCGAGACCTACATCCCCCACCAGCCTTTGTTTTTTTAAGATGAGTTCTCAGTATGTAGCACAAATTGACATGGAGCTCTTACCACTGTCTCTTTAGTCTCTTGAGTTCTGGGATTCCGGGCATGTGCCACCATGTCCATTTTGGGAATGTTTTCTTTTATATACTTTTGAATGATATGATCAGAGGCTACATGCTTTATATCTTACTATCAAAGCCAGATATAAGGTAAAGCTTTTTTGTTAAACTCTGCCTAGTGACTAGATACTGTAATCCTAGCACTTGGGAGACTGAAGCAGGATTTGTCCCAGAGTTACAATCAGTCTGGTTCATATACTGAGTTCCAAGCCAGCCCGAGCTATAGAGTGAAACCCTGTTCAAGCCTTGTACCCTCCAACACTGCCCTTAAAGGAAAAATGTAAAGTTAAAGCAAGAGAGATCATTAGTTATATAAGCCAAATATGCAGCATCTATGGAAAGTCAAAACAGATGATTTTAGGGTAGAGAATGAAAGAGATCTAGAGATGTAAAATTTCATGTTCCTTGCTGTGTTACTTTGTGTTTTTATATTTAATTAAAAAACTTAAAGATACTTTTTATTTTATGTGTATGAGTCTTTTGTCTGACCACAGAGGTCAGAAGGTGGCATCAGATCCCCTGGAACAGGAGTTAAAAATGGCTGTGAGCCACCATGTTGGTACTAGAGACTGAGCCCATGTTCTTTCCAAAAGCTACAAGTGCCCTTAACTAGCAAGCAGTTTCTCCAGTCGCACATTGTTTGTGTGAGTAATTTCACACTGCAGCCCAGGAGAACCAGAAACTCACATTGTAACCCAGGCTGGCATGAAACTTCCAACAGTCCTATTGCCTCAGGCTTCACCCCACCAGCTATCTAAATTTTGATTTTTAAGATTTTATTTATTTATTATGTATACAACATTCTGCTTCCAAGTATATCTGCACACCAGAAGAGGGTACCAGATCTCATAACGGATGGTTGTGAGCCACCATGTGGTTCCTGGGTGAATTTTGATTCTTATTCTGTCTTACATTCAAGAAAAGTTAGGGCCCAAGAGGTCAAAGGTGTTTAAGCTGCACAGCTTAACAGTAGAGGACCAAGAGTCTAATCTCTGGAAAGTTTGGTTTTTGTTTTCGTTTTTTTTTGTTTTTTTGTTTTTGTTTTTGTATTTTGAGACAGGGTTTCTCTGTGTAGCTTTGGAGCCTGTCCTGGAACTAGCTTTTGTAGACCAGACTGGCCTCAAGGTGTGTGCTTCACCATCTCCCAGCCTTTGTTTTTGTTTTTAGAGATTTATTTTGTAAATGTATAAGTGCATGCATTTACATGTATGTGTGCATGCATGGGAGTGCAGGTGCTATGGAAGTCAGAGAAATAGGGACCCCCTGAATCTAGAGTTCCAGTCAATTGTGCACTCCCTGATGTGGGTGTTGGGAACCCAGCTTTTGTTCCCACCAAGAGCAGTTAAGTGATCTTAACCACTGAGCCATCTCTCTCCAGCTCCCCAGTCTCTATTTTTCTATACTTAATATTTTCATGACGTCCTGTTTTTAGTGTAACTCACCGTAAAACCTACTAAATGTGTGCAAAAGTGCCTTTCCTAAAATCTGTTGAATATATTTTATTTTGTATATGCTGTCAAATTAATGTGTGTGTCTTTCATTTTGATTGTGTTAGCCAGCATTACCTTAACACTCAGAAAGATTAACAAGAGACATATTTAAATATCTTGTCTTGCTTTTAACTTCAGATTGAGATTTTTTCAGTTTGTTTTCTGCTTCGTCTTGTTCTTAATAGGTCTGTATTGAAGATACCATAGTATTGAGGGAAAGTTTATTTTTAAAAAATCTTTGAAAAGCGATGGTGTTAACCGTTAATTGACATTAAAATATTTTATAATCAGATCTTGGAGGTGTGAAGATCATAAGTTAGTTAGGAAGTGAAAGGCACTATTTTGGACATACTGAATCTATATTCATTATTCTTTATACTTCATTGTCTTTCTTATAAATATACAATACTACAGTCACATTGACACTAGGTCTTGTCTTTGGCTTTTGGTTTTGTTTGTTTGGCCTTGTGGATTTTGTTTTGCTTTGTTTTGTTTTGTCTTTCGAGACAGGGTTTCTCTGTGGCTTTGGAGGCTGTCCTGGAACTAGCTCTTGTAGACCAGGCTGGTCTTGAACTCACAGAGATCCACCTGCCTC